TATTGAGCCATAGGAAATTGCTGTATTTGACTCTTTAGGGCCTACAAAAATGGCCACCCCCTATGGTTCAACCTATACATACCCACGTATATTCCCTTCTTTCTAGAGCAGTGGTTCTCAACCTGTGGGTTGCGACCACTTTGAGGGTCAAACGACCCTTTCACAGGGGTCACCGGGTACTCGTATGTGGGTGTATCTGTATGTGGGCCTGGAGACAGATAGAGGAGCGGTGTCTCGGTTCCTAAGACCATCGAAAATACGTGTTTTCCGATGGTCTTAGGTGACCCCTGTGAAAGGTTGAGAACCGCTGTTCTAGAGAATACCCTTTCCAGGATAATGGAATAGCTTCAGTCTTCCCACTTGCCTGACTATAAGTTCCAAAGTCCATTCACCATGTCCCACAGAGAACAGAGGACATATTCTGATATCTCAGAATTCTTGAAATGAGCAGTCCGATTTGCACCCCTCACACCACAACCCTTACTGCTTCACCAGAAACTTTTAAATAAACGCATTCAAAACTGTACAGCTATTATATTTACTCAAAAGGCTTATAAGAACCCATTCAAAAAAAACATGGTACCAAGGTACAAAATGACCTAGTAAGGTTAGAATACATCTGAGACAGGTTCCAGAAACACGAAAACTATGCCTTATTATGTCTATAGAATCAAGTAATTGTCTGGTGCAATTAACTTAGAGAAGGTAGAGAGGAGACTCACATGTCAATGAATTAAATGCTATTGAATCGACCTTGAGTATTGTTAGCCCAAGAGTGAAGAACACCTATAGAGGCCACTGAGAATCCTTGATTAGATGGATTTCATGGCCTAGCTATTGAGTGAGGCAAACAAATGGTGTTCTGCTAGGCAGAAAATGGCCCTGTTGTTTTCCTGGGTATGAAAGCCACCAGAAAAATGAAGATTTTACAACAATAGAGCATACGGATAGAACAGTATGACTTAATGCTCCAGAAGCATGCCTTCATTCCAGCCACAGCATCTCTGACACCCTCTATGTTGTTGCAGAGGAGGATCTAAGCCAAGAAGCTACACTGTGATAGCTCTCACCAGATGCACTTTGGGTGCTCTTCTGCTCTGCAAGCCATAGTAGGGGGCTGCCCAGTCCAAAGACAGTCTCTGGACAACTTGTATATTATATCAAAGCATGTTCCAGCTTCCCCCAAAAATGTCCTAGCATAACACATAGATTGGCTAGTATTTTTAGGAAATGCCTAAAATGTGTATGTTTCTGGGCAAGTTGCATCCAAGCAACCTACCATTTAATAAGTGGCAGTTCTTTATGTATGTGTTTTAGCATTTCATACTTCATTTTACTTCTGGTCATTTATAGCTCAGGATTTTGAGAATACAATTTTTATTTTCAATTTAGACATTTCAGATCAAAGTTAAGTAGGAAAAGTGAGAGAATATCTGTTACAATACCAATAATAGCGGCAGTTATAAACTATGTATTTTTAGTTGGAGCAGCATGAATGACATAAAAGGCACGTTTAAAATGTTAAACTATAGCAACAGTAATCTGAATGGGTACGTTTGTGCATTTTTGTTGTTTAACTATTTCTGTACATTTAATTTTTTCTAACACATGTATTTTCAATTAAAAAAACTTTAATGGGAAAAACACATAAACTAAAATTATTGGCTTATTTATTCAACAAACATTTATCAAATGCTTCCTATATGTTAGGTACTTCTCTAGGCAAAGGGTGAGCATTTAATTTCAGGTCATTGTGAAGCTTACATTCTAATGCAGCAGGTGCAAAGACAAAACAAACATGAAAATAAAAATATCAGTAAGCATTATGAAGCAAGCATACAATGTCCAATGAGAAGGTATTGAGAGGGGAATCTGTCTGGGAGACCCACAGGAGGCTTCAGTGAATGGCATTTGATAATAGTGAAACCTGAGGGATGAGTACTTGCTAGCCAGACAAAGGGATGAAGACTGAGTGGTGATCTAGAGGGTGAAATGGGAAGGATCTTGGCCCATTTGAGAAGCTGAGAGAAGATCATTTCAGCTGGAGCTTCTGAGGGAGAAGAACGGCCAAGATGATGCCCAAGAGGGAAATGAGTTCAGCTCATGCAGGATTTTGATGGCCTCCTTAAGGTTTAGAAGGAAGGAAGTCAGAATGTCTATTAAAGATATCGCTCTGACCTTAACTAGAGAATGCATATGAGTATGTATGGGCAGCAAGAGTGGATCATAGAGGGCCAATTAGAAAGCTACTGTAATGATGCTGGTGAGACATGATGGTGGCCTTCCCGGAGTGAAGGTAGAGAGCGTGAAGACAAGACGTTTTGGACATAGAGGCAATCTAGACTGGTTATACTGGAGGAATAAGGAGAAGGGCAGTGTTGAGAGTGACACCCGGATTAAAGGAAGAATTCTGTGGAAAAGAGAGGTTGAATTCAGATTTTCTTTCTTTCCTTGATTTTTGTTTAACTGTAAAAGGAAATCACCACTCATTTTAATAGGTCAAACTGCAGACTTACCCTAGGAAGAAGCTAATTATCATTGTCCTGCTTCTGATCTAATGAATGTTAACAGTATGATATAACTCTCTCATCTTTCTCTCTCATATAAGTGTGTATTTGTTGTATTTTTTAATTCTGTTTGAACTTGTTGGATATGAATTTCTTCTAGAATTTGCAAGTGAATACATCAAGTAGAAAATTATATATATATATATATATATATGTGTGTGTGTGTGTGTGTGTGTGTGTGTGTGTGTGTGTGTGTGTCAAAACTCAGAAGGGAGATGTATGCTGGGTGTATAAATTTGTCTGTGTTTGTATGGGAGCGGATACTTAAGCCATGGGGTAGATAAGAGTGCCTGGGAGAAAATGTTGAGTCACAAGAGAAGAGAGCCTGCACAGAGTCCCAAGGAAGTCCTTCCTTCACCAGTTAGATGAGGGAAGAGGAAGAGAGATCAGAGAGACAAGAAGAAACCAGGAGGATGAGGTATCATCATACAAGTCAAGAGAGTGGCAAGTGCAGCCATGAGGCCAACAAACAGAATGTCTGTTACACTGAGCAGCAAAGGTATCACTAATAACATTAGAAAGTCATATCTGTGGAATGGTTGGAGACCATATGAGGTTCCCAGGCATTGATTTGGAGAGTGACAATTCTCCCATGGAGGTGTGAAATTTCTCCAGAATCATCTCCAGGGGGTAAGTCACAGACAAGATAAGAGAGTGTCTCTAAAGTTGGAGTTTTTCAGGAATATTTAACAGAAGGTGAGAAAGGCAAAAATGATTAACATAGTACCCATCACAGTATATTAGAAGCCATTACAGTACTATTTTTAAAGTAGAGACAGTATGTATTAAAAATAAGTGAATATTTTGTATTTTTATTTGTTCTATGTTTACCTAGGGAAACCTTGGTGAACATGGAGCTAGTGGCCCAAAAGGAGAGAAGGTAATCTGATTTTCAAAGTGAATACAAACGTCCAGAGTTTTATACCAATTCACACATTCACATGTCAGGGGCATTCCATTGCCACATGGGGTCCTGTTCATAGGGAGTCTTTCGGGCCCACATTGGGCACCGTCTCCACCTGCCCCCTGACCAGGCAGCAGGATTGGAGTCTGTTCCTGAGTGAAGACTGCTGAGTAGCAGTTGGCTACAAGGAAGAGAACACATTGAGGGAAAATAACTTTAACAGGGTAAATGAAATCAGGACATAAGACTCAGTTTATAATTAAATGCTTCATGTATCCATGTAGGTAACAAAAACAATCCAAAGACCCCTTTGACAAAATGCCTCAGGCTATTTTTGTGTCTTAAGTGGCCAAACATAAGCTGTTAGGGGAGCATTTCTTCTTCTCCTCCTCCTCCTTCTTTTTGGTGTAGTTTTATAATGTACAGTCATGGTTGAACCAATAATTATTTTAAAACAAATTTAAAATTAAAATGCTGATGAATTNTATAGACCTAAGTCTCAGTTTTTCAGGGCCTGTTTCTTGATGTCTATGTGGAAATAGTATATTAACATTGAACCATTATTGGGGAATAACTTAAAGAAAACATAAAAATCAACGAAAGAACTTGATGACAACTTAAAACAATGGGAACTATTGCCCCCACAACTCCCACCATGAACCTGAGCAATGAAACAAGTAAGATTTTTACTGTGTTTTCCTCAGGGAGATCCAGGTGGGATTATAGGCCCTCCTGGGCTTCCAGGTCCAAAAGGTGAGGCTGGTCCTCCAGGGAAAAGCCTGCCAGGTGAACCAGTAAGTACCAAGCCCTTTTATTAATATCTCCCTTGAAAGTTCCTCACATTTGTGTGTTCTCAGTTTCAGATCACAAGTATAGGAACACATTTAGGTCTGCAGAAAAAGAAATATTCATCTTATTCTTCAGATGAGAGATCTAATCTCTTTGGAAATTGGATGCAGGCAGAGGCCTCTCTTCTAAAGAAAATGCGCATACACACACTATTTTACAGCTGATTTTAGAAGGTTCATAGGCCCCCTATGCAGGAGGCATGGATTCTTCAGGATCTATGGAGCCTAGTAGGGTCCTAAACCTTCCTAGGACACTATGTTAAAACAGAAGAACTGCCTGAAATGTCCCTTTTAGAGGCTCTGCAGGTGTGGGCATAGATGGTCATTTGCAGAAAATGTCCTTGTGGCCCAGGCTATTTTCAGGACATACAAAACTGGATAGCTGGAACATCTAAATAACCAATATGCCTGTTACATATGCCTTTTTTTCTCATGCCCTTTAACCTTTTATGTTAATTAATAATAACAAATCGTTTTCAGTATCAGATGCTTCATTTTAAAGACGAAAACATCTTATATTTTAATGCAATTCTACAAAACCTATAACCTAGTGAAATTTATATTCCTTATTTATTATTCTTCTCAGAAAAAGGTTTATTCAAGAAAGGCGAAGAGAAATGAAATGTTTTTAAGTTATGANAAGTGTTTATAATTGATTCTGTTTTCTATCCCTTTTCCTAGGGGGAACCTTTTACAAAAGGTGAAAAGGGAGATAAAGTAAGTAGATGTTTTATCACTATCTTGGGTTTTCTACATCATTTATTTCTTTCTCTCTAATTTCTGGTATGTTTACTTTGGAGTCTAATAGATTTGATAAAATAAGCTCCCTGAGCATTTTACGTTTTCCTCTGTGTACTTTGACTCTTTTATTTTGATAAGTGAGAAATTTTAAGCCTTGTTAAGTTTTATCATCTAACGACACTTTAACATTTGGTTGGGGTAGTGTATATTTTCTTTAACCCATTACTATTTGTGATTAGACATAAATGTTTTGAAGTATATCCATTTAGGATATTTAAAATACAAAATTAAAATACAAGATACAGTTTTTTTTCAAAAATTCTGTTAATTATACAAATTGCATTATCAAACAGGATAATTTTTTCAAAAGAATCAATAATAAGTCATGGAAAAACAAGGAAAAAATATTTAGTATAGCGAAGATTGTCCTCTTCTTGTGTTACTTTTATTTGTTTCTGTTTTTTTCATTAAGTACATATACCTGATAGTAGAATCACCAGGACATAGCAACTTAAATTCTACTCTTCCTTACCCACGCATCTGAACTTTTAATTCTCTGGGATATAAGATTAGCTGGTGGCAGGTTATAACAATATCACCTAAATGGAGAATGCAGTGATTGCTAATGGAACATGGTGATTACAGTGTCAAAAGTGACACTGAGGAAAAAATTGTTATAAAGAAAATAGAAAATAAGAAATTATTTATTTATTAGCAATAACTATTTTAAATCATGTTTTAGAATGAACACTCCTTGACTTCATCATGTCTTCCATAATTTCCCCCCTTTATTGTATGTTAATTAGTGGAAATGCAAATGAATTCAAGTATTAGAGATGCTCATCTCCATCTGAATCTAAGCATTATATATATGGTGATTATTTTATTTACAGGGAGAACCTGGGCTAATAGGATCACAGGGAATAAAGGTAATCTCCTGACATTCTTTAACTGCATCTCCAACCTTAATGAGATTGTGAAAATTAAAGTAACCAGTTCACTTTTCTTCCCACCCATATGTTTAGGGCGAACCTGGAGATCTTGGTCCCCCTGGTTTAATAGGAAGCCCAGGAATAAAGGTATATAAGAAATAACTGTGATAAATAAGGAAATAATTTCAGAGTTATAGCTATTTATATGTAAAACAAGGTGCTCTGGTGCCACTCATTTTCTTCACATGTTTCTCAGACTTTGTCATGTTTCCATGGTGATTTCTCCTCCACCTCCACTGAATGCATTTATTACAGCCAGTATAGTTGTGTTTCTTTTAGTTTGTAATAGGATTTTTAAACTTTTTTCCAAAACATATTCACAATAGCAACCCTAAAAGCTTTAACACTAAACAGTGTGAGCTAAATCTATGACCATGAACTATATTCATAAAGTGAACAGGGTTCAGGGTTCAATTTCTAAGCCAAGTTTCTAACTTGTGTACTCCTGAGATGCTTGAGCTCCTCTTGTGNTATTACTGAGGCCAGTTTCTTTCAACATGTAGTTCTTTTGGTGGGGGAAAAACACCTAGAGTGTAATTTATATTCAAATAAGACCACTTACAGAGATTACACAAATCCTATTTACAAAATAACTTTTTTTTGTAATGCTGATGAAAAACAAACAAAAAAACTTACAGCAGCCCTCAAATGAATCAATAAGAATCAGACTTAAATGTGTCGCACTTGTGGGCACATCTCACCAACTCTTAACTGCTTCTCTAGGTTTCCTCTGTCTCCCTTCCAAACTTGAACAATGACACTCACCTTCTCTTAATTTCTATGGGACACATGTCAGACCTGGCAGTAAGATTTGTTAAAATTCTACTAGAAAAGCAGGGACTTATGGAGCAGAAAGGAGAAAGTTCCAGAGGGTTAGAGCAGTGTTTCTCAAGTGTGAGCGTGCACTTCAATCATCCAGGGACCCTTTTGAAATGCTGCTTGTAACTCAGTAGGTTTGGGATGGGGTCTGAGAGTCTGCATTTCCCACAAACTCTCAAGTGATGCTTTTGCCATTGGTCTATGGATCATGCTATGAGTAGCAAGGGTTGGAGGATTTCACAGCTCCTTGGAGATCCTCTCTGGTTTTCTCACCTACCACCAACATTTCCGGGCAGCCCACCTACCCTATGATATAACCTTTAGCCTTACTTGTCTTACCCAGGAGAACAAGCTTTTTTTTCCCCCTTTAACTCTTGTCCTTACTGGGTCCCTCTTAATCCCTAATTACCCACCTCCTCGATTCATCATTGCCTGCTTTCTTCCTCCATGACCCCCTTCCACATAAAAAAAAGCACACTTTTTAAACAGTATTATGCAGAGAAGGTTAGCTCTCTTTGGTCTCAACCTGTCTATTCCAGAACAGGATCTGGACTTGACTTTGCATAATAACCAGAATGAAGTTCCAAACAATTCAGCCAAAAATTGAATCCCAGTTGAATTCTAAACCACCTATCCTGAATGGCAGTTCACCCCCCACTAGTGGGAATTTAGGGCTTGACTAGATGTGTTGCATACCAGTGCTAAAATATACTTAACAGATCACCTAGTTGAACCCCATGATTTTATAGATAAAATAAGAGAGGTTCTAAAAGGTAAATGACTTGACCCAGATAGTAANCAAAATGCCTCAGGCTATTTTTGTGTCTTAAGTGGCCAAACATAAGCTGTTAGGGGAGCATTTCTTCTTCTCCTCCTCCTCCTCCTCCTCCTCCTTCTCCTCCTTCTTTTTGGTGTAGTTTTATAATGTACAGTCATGGTTGAACCAATAATTATTTTAAAACAAATTTAAAATTAAAATGCTGATGAATTTTGAATGCATTCTCATCATCATTCACAGGTTTAATTATATTAGCTGTGAAGGTGACAGATTCACTGCCCACTTAAAAAGATGTTTCACTCTCATTTGATTCTGAAATTGTGGTGACTTTGGATTCAGTGTGAATGTGCCATTGTCAGGAACAAAAACAATGCACATTAAATCTACAGGCAGAGATGAGCAGGTTTGAAAATACTCTGAGGGAATATGGTTTGTGAGTTCTACCTTCACTCATTCATGCAGTAAAATTCTCTTGATTGAGGGCAGGATATTTCAACATGAATCCAAGAAAATATGACTTCTGTGCCTTATAAATCAGTGCAGACAACCTATTGAAAAGATCATATATCCATCAACAGAAAATTCTGCTAGAAGACAGTCTCAACAGAAAGTGGGAGCTTCTTATGGATTGACCATTGAAAATAAAATTTTCTGCAAAGAAATAAATAAATAAAACCTTGACATTCTTAAGAAGACATCCAAAAATATTTATTATACAGCAATAATAAGTCATTTGTATATCTTGGATTGCACTGCTAGTACATTAGCATTATTCCCTGTAACCAAATAGCTTACAGAATTCCTACACCACCGTAAAAAACACATTACATTTGAAGCAATTACTACTGGACACCTGCAAGCTAAGAGGGAAAAAAAGCAAAAGAAAGCCACAGAGCTTGTCACATAGGACAGCTGAGCAAAGAAGAGAGTTGTGGCACTTTTAAAGTATTTAAATGATGATTCATTTCATGAAACAAAACAGCTGGCTTCTGTTTTGCTATGTTCATTAGGGAACATATGTCACTTAGAAATTCTTAAGACCTCGATGATGAGAAATTTGATTCTGTAAAACAGGTGTATTTCAAACTCTAAGGACCTTTCTGTTGCTCAAAATCGTTTTTAATTGCTTCAGAATCTTAAGTGGAATTAAAAAAGCCAGTGGCATATCTGTTCCCTCCTCCCACCCAAAGAAATAACCTAGAAGAGTCTGCAGGGAACTTGATGCAGTACCTGAATAAATGTACGATGTGAAATGACTTGTTAGAATTCTAATTAACAGGCAAAATACTCTACCAATAAATAATGCACAAAATAAACTAAAAAAAATGTAAGCATAGCACTAGCTGGAAGAGTGAAATCACTTCTACCCATACACATCCACTTGATATCTGCTCTGAATCAATACATTAGTTTTTTTTTATTATTATAATGCTATTCATGGGTCACTGTAGTGAGAATTTAAAACTCCCTCAAGCTGCTCTCACAGATTTGTTTGCATCTCTGGTGGACCCGGTGGTTCTGAACCCTGGCTGCACCTTGGAATCACCTAGACAGCTTTTAGAAAATGCCAGTACTCAGGCCCCATCTCTAGAGACTCTGATTTGGGGCAAAGCCCATAACTTTGGTTGATCTGGGTGGGGTTCATATTGCTATCATTAAAAAGCGCTTCCAATGATTCTAACAGGAAACCAGGGTTGAGAACCACTGAGTTGTGCCATGAAGTTGATTATGCCATTAATAGTTGTGTCTCCTAGGGCAAATCACTTTACCTGAGTATCAGTGTCCTCGTTGGTAAAATGAGCACAATTGTATCTACACAAAGTTGATGGGAGGATTAAAATCAAATGAGATGAAATGAACTTACCCAAAAGCACAATACCTGACACATATTAATCCCCCACTAAAGCTGTATTCCTTTCTGTTCATCTGCTCAAACTTTCTTTCTTCTCCTCAGTTCTCATTTATCTCTTTTTGGTATTAATAGTTATTACCATCCTTAACCCCTGGTCTTGCTCATCTTTGCATCTCCCGCAATGATTTTAACAGAGAAGGGACTCAATTTGTGTTGTAGAACAAAAGATTTAACCAGAAGTAACCATTTCAATGCATAAGTGATTTCTTGTCATTGTATAATATTTCACTTCTCAATGTTTTGACTGGCAAAAGAGAATCACAAAACCAGCCTACCATTGGAGCCCAACATTACAATGACACATCAGAACAAACACAAACAAAAGTAGAGCCTACACACAAATCGCCCCTGGTTTAGCAGCCACATCCTGTAGCAAGAGCACTGAGATACAGGGAGAAACACCAGGGAACCTAGTGACTAGTAATGGTAAAACAAATGAGACCAACCTACCAGTACTGAAATGATGACCTCTGCTCTATAGCTTGCCTGAGCCTGACAGACTGTGATGAAGGAATAATGTATTTGCAAGTTGTTTGAGGAGAACTGCTTCTTTATAGAGTGGAATCAAGGACAGAATATTTAAGGACTCCTGAGAAATTAGCAGGGGTCTTTCATGGCCCCACTATCAGAGAGAAAAGACAAAGCCACAAAAGCACCAAGCTTTTCAAATAGCCTGGGAAGTGCCAAATTAAAGGACAGCCTCTCCTGAAGCTAAATAAATTCATCACTTGTCTTTCAACTCATATCCATAGTGATAAATCATTAACATCCATTTTAAATATGAAAAACAACTCCACATGTGTCTAAGATTCAGGTATGAAACCTTTCTGTTGGCAGAATTTTGTGTGAGGGAATTGATCCCTAAAGTTTCCTCTAAGACCAACCACTCCCAAGCACCACTCAGAGAGATAAATCAAAGCCTCTTTTGGGTCCTTTGTCTACATTCCAATGGAGACCTATTTACAGCAGTTCAATGAATATGAGCTATGAATATAATTACTTTTCCTCCATGTATATCTCCCCCTTCCCCTTTGTTACTGGGAAGATGTGAGTTTTATAGTAATTTCTACACAGCTTCCCTGAATTCTACTTTTCTTTTTTTTACGGATCAGTCTAACTACTAGGGATATTTTTCCTTCACACCTCTGGTCACGCTCGCTTTACACCCTAATGCTCATACGAGGCCAACTGTTTATTTTCTCTTTTAAACCAACAGTAATTTGTCCCTTAAATGTATCCACCAATTTCTCCCTCTTTTTACTTTGGATAGAATTTATTATTGCTAGAAAAAAATGCCTTCTACAGTGTGGTAAGTATAAAATTGAAGCTATGCTAGATGTTTAGGTACCAGAAGGAAAAATACTTCTATTATTAAAGTCAAGATAAAATTTACAAAATATATTCCACATCTAGAAAATTGCTTAATAAAAACATGATCTCATCTCCATTACGTATGACAAGCTTCCTCTTCCTCTAATATAATAAAATCACAAGATACTGATGCGGATAAAAATGTAGAAATAAGTCAACAATTTTAGGACTCTAATAAATGTGTACTTGAAATACTTTGGGTAGAAT